AGCAAAGGTTACGCGGCTACCGCGCGCCATCCTATGAAACTTTATTTTATTATACCGAAAGTAAAACTTGCACACGACGCCATAACACATTTAACTAGGCTACCTACGCTACATCACACGACATGCACAGCAACCAGCAATACACGCGAGCATAGAAAAGCACTACTGAGTTATTCACTACAACACACGCACGCATTTATCACACATGCTCGTGAATAGTTAGTTACGCATGTACACGTGCAAAGGTAACAATAGTGGAGTAGTGAAATGTGAATGCTTGAAATTGTGTGAATGTGTGTGTGTGTGTGTGTATTGGACGAAAGGACGAGTTGAGAGTTGAAAGCCGCCCGGGGAAAGAGAAAGTCCACGCGGACAGTCAACCACACTGGAGGGTGAGAGCGAAAGAGAGTGAAAGTCCTTCGGGATGTGTGAAATACACGTCCAGAGACAAGAGCACGCGCATAAAATATAAATTTTATTCTTTGCGATTATTTTTTTATTACAGAAACAAAAATGCAGTTTGTAGTTGATGTAAAATTTTAGAAACCATTTTTTCTTGTCATTGTGTGTTGAGAAATTAATTTCTTATGCAAAATATGAGTAAATCTTGGTCCGAAAAGTGTCCGGATGACATATCACCAATGATAGTTTGCGTAGAGCTGTATCCCGAGGCCGTGTCTGTTTTAATGTTGATAAGACGCAGGCGGCGTTGAAATCGTCCCAAACACACATCGGGATGACCATTTTTTTACGGTCGCATGCGTGTCCATAAACTAAAAGTGCTTAATATCTTTAGATTCTTTACTTTGCGCCTTTTATTCATTTTTTTCGGTTTTAAATTCTGTGTTGTTAGCTGGGTTGCCTATACTTTGATCATAGTAAATGTAAATTTACATTATGCAGGTTAGTTACTTACACAACGCCATCTCGTGTGTTTGTGTGAAAATAATCATTATGTGTGGAGTCTGTGAATGTTGTGCGCTGAATAAGAAAAGAAAAGTTTGTCGCGTGTTGTGAATCCAGTGGGGGAAAGTCCTCGCGAGGCGGCAGCGAGATGATGTATGCCCAGGCAAGGTGGCCGGCCGTTTATGAATAGCTAAGCAAGTGGCCGATTGTCCGTCCTGGCAAGCGCGCGTCGCCGGCCGGCGGCCGCCGGCACAAAGGGGATCGATAGAGGGAGAACGCGTCCCCTTCGCGCCGCCGCCGCCGCCCCCGCTGGACGCACGTTTGCATCTCGCGAGACGCACACTAAACTAAAACCGACTCAAAACTACAAAGCCTATGCTGAAGAAAACGTATACGTTGTCAATTTTTTAAACTACCAAACATAAAATATCTAGGCAACCATACATACAAAACTTTTTTTGTTGTGAAAGTAATAAATCAATTAAAACTTACTTTAAAGTAAATTTGGATTGAAAATTATATCCCATCCCCGCTTTTTATACTTTTTTCCCGTTTAATTTTGTTGCCTTTTTTATGTTTTTTGGCTGTGCACTTTCAATTTTTAATCTTCTTCATTAACCCGATCGCAGATGAGATGCGCGAGAGGGTGGATTTGCGGCGGCGCGCCCGCAAACGGTTCCGGCTTCAGCGGCGGATGATAATCATCCCCCTTCGACGCCGCACGTTTAACCAACCCCCTCTTTTGGCCCCGCGCGCGCGGTAATTGCGTACACGCACCGAGGAGGTTTATCCGTGGCAGGATAAGTCGTCGCATGCAGGACGCCCGTGCCAACCCCTCAAACAGAGCGATTTCCCGCGCGAGGGTGCGAAGGAATATACACTATGCCTGCGTTCTGTTCTCCTGATACTCTCGTCCTGCTAGAGGTCCTGTAGGAACGGAGATACCACCCTACGTACAAGACACATCCAGAAAGGACTCAAAATTACAAGATTTTCTGTTAAAATTTTTAGTTTTAGTCGAAAAACTGCTGTAATTAATTTTTTGTGGTGTTAAATAATATGTCTTAGCCCAAGGATAAAGATTATCCTTTTTAGAAGAAATTTTACGATCCAAAGTTGTAATTAAGGACAAAAATGGGGTCATTGGGTAAAAATTATGAAATGTAAAGCAGAAAACATACAAAACTCCAAAATATTATAAAAACTATTGGTATAATGATTAAAATTAGTCTAATATTATTTGTTTAGTTAAATTGCTGAGTTGTAACTTTGGTTGCCTATAATAAATGCGAATCTTCTTGCTTTTATGAGAAAAATTAATAAAACCAAGTCAATATTCGGGTTAGTGGTATAAATCCTCGCGCTAATAGCACCACGGGTTGATTCCGGGAAGCGTGGTCCTTCGGGGCGGTGAGAAATCCCTTTCCTTTGGCGGTGGCGGCGGCGTCTGGTCGGGCGTCTAGCCGCATTCCCTTTCTTTCCGATTCGTCTTCGCTCATTGCATCGCGCCCGCATCTTGAGAAACTTTTCATGTTTTCCTCGTTTTATCCCGGACCTACCCTTACTAATATCCTTCTGCCGGCGGTGGCAGACAGCCGGCCCCGAAAGGACGCGCCTCGGCGCTAAAAGGATATATCCCGACTCAACCCCGACGCAACAAGCGCGCGCGAGGCGCCGAAGGACTCCTTATTATCATCATCGTCCCCGCTCAGGACGATATAGACATAACACGTGTTTCCCTAAAGAATAAACGCGTTTTTCCAGCTGGCGGCCGCCGGCCGCACGTGTTTTGATATCATTCCTTTCATTTCATTATTTCGCGTTCTGTTTTGTTGCTGGTTTAGTGCGCTTGCGGTAGGTCGTTTGGAAAACCGAAACAATAACGATATCCACCGACGCGATACAAATTTAATTTGGGGGTGCGTGCGTGCGGGTCTGCCGCCCTGCCGCCCCCTTAATTCGTTAATTGCGCTCGCCGCTTTCTATTGCATTAAAAAAGGTATCATTTGATAAGCGGGCTGGGCGGCACGGCGCGTTGAAAGTAGATAAACTGCTTTGCATACTGCGTATCACGAAAAATTTAATTTACAGCGGCCTAAAAACAAACACAAAAAGAATCATAACCTCAAATCAATGCAAATAACTTACCAAAATAATATATTATAAAAACCTTTTAAAATAATGCTTATATTTATGAAAAACAATAATTTTACTAAAAAAACATATAAATTGTATACTTGGTTGCCTACAATTGGTGTATCTTTACTTAAATTTGTTGTAACTTTAGTTAGAAGCAGATATTTATATCAGACGCTAATTTTATTAGTCCACAGCACGAAACATAGTTAATCGTTGTCATTTTATAATTAACTGAAGAGAATTAAATTCTCTAATTTCCTTCATCAAAACGAACAACTTTCGTGTGCTAATTTTGCATGCAACCAACATAAAAACGAAAACTACGCCAATTTCCGTACAAATCAACAAAAACCAAAACACGAAGCTAACAAATATTATATTTACAGTGCCGTATTCACAACACAAAAAAATAAAATTTTTATTTACTACTCGTATGTATATTTAGTAGCATACATATTAAAATAAAAGTTTGACTCTGTTGGCAAAAACTGCGTAGCAAAAACTTTCTGCGTGTGTATAAACTTTGACTCGCACAATATTCGCATTAATCAAGCACAGGAAATTAAAACGAAACCAAACCGAAACCTTTTGTTAAGTTGCCCATTGTATTTCATTGACAAATAAGTTTTCGCAATAAATTCACGATGAGTAATAGATGCCTGCATAGTATACTGCGCTATTCTTCTAAAATAAACAAATTGCAAGGCATTACCGATAATGTTGATCATAGTGTACGTTATAATTATAGCCATACATTATTGTTATTCAAAAATTATTAATGACAAATAGTTGACTCCGGATTTGAATAGCTTTGAGCGCGGAGTCCTTGATAATTCGAACAATGGCGTTTCGGTGAATGGCCGGGCCTGTTACTCATTGTCCTTTTTGCCAAGCGAGGATGTCCTACATCCGTCGGCGCTGTCCTTCGTTTTATAGACTTGTGGCCCAGCGCCTTGCGATATGATGAGAATATCGGCACCTGCGAACTGTTAAAATCCACTTAGACGTTTACAAATGGCAGTGATGAATCCTTTCAACGCTTCAACACGCTGAATAGTACTGATTTCTCTTGAAAACACGTTTTAAACTTCTACAAAGCTGTAAAACATGAGTTATTATAATCTTTGCAGTGTATAACAAGTTGCCTAACATGAATGTTAAAAAATATTAAAATATTTTTTCTTTTTGGCTGGTAAATGTAATATGCTACGATTATCGGATTATCGGCCTGTACATCATATCGTTTTACATAACATGAAGCTACGAAACTGTTACATGTTACATGTTCGACGCGCGTATCGTCTGAATTTCGTTTCGCGCTCGTCGAGAAACATGATAGACACGAATACCACCCTCGCGCAATGTTTCCAAACTCGAGCGCGGTCCGCACGCCACTCGTCGACTTCTTTGTTCCGAAGGGCGGCAAACACCGACCGACAAGCCAGAAAGCTTGCCGCCTGCTCATGAGTTTCACGAGTCTCGCGTGCATTTATATCTCCCACCCTCCACTGGAATGCCACCGCACGAAAGATGTTCATGTTCATGATCGTGCTCGTGCACGATAGTCGATGCGCATTTTAACTCTCACAACGAACTTTTGATCTGTGTTTGATTCTCTCGAAATGAAAAGACTTCGGAGCTACGCTGGACATGAAACAATGAAAACGTGAATAATTAACAGACTCGAAATCAATTTCAGGATAAAATTTGCTAATATAAAAAGAGATTATATTTATTTTTAGTATAAAAAAGTATAAGTTTTATTCTTTATGTTATTTAGTTGTGTTGGTGTATAATAAGTTGCCTATAGTCAACCTCATAAATTTGAACATGTTGCGCGTTTGTGCGCGAATGGCACATTTTCCACGCGTAAATAAAAACGAAGAAAACGTGAAAACGCAGGAAAAAATACGCTTCGTACCACGTGCCACAGTGCCGCGGCTGGCGTGCTGCAAATTACGCTGTCGACTTCGTCGATGTCAGTCAGTGTTTCGCCGCCTTTTCGCGAGTTTTCCTCGCGCCACCGAACGGAAAACATGTTCGTAGTTTCATTGTAGTTTCATTCTCTCCTACCAGCAATGTGCACAATTTACAAGCATGCAAAAAGTGAGTTTTTAAACAATAAAAATAAATCTAATTAAATTACACCTACAGATTGTTTATGATTATACATTAATTAGTTTTTAAATAAGGTGTGAATCATTAATAAATGTTAGTAACGCATAATTATATTAAAATTAGCAGATTGAAACATCAATTTTAGTGTTTGTGATTAGTTTCGCGATCATCAGCAATCGATTAATCATAAAAATTTGAAATTTAAATTTGACACGCTGCAAACTTGAAAAAAAAAATGTTATGCTTTATAGTTTAGTGTGTTTTGAGTAGCATAAAGCGTGCAAATTACCTTTGTTCTTAGCTACTCATTTTTTATTTTGGAATATTTGAGATTTTTAACATCTTACAACACGTTCTTGTCATTAACTTACTAAAATATTATTATTTTACTTTTGCATTTTGCGTCAAAGGTTTAAAAGATTAATAAACACAGAAATGTTATATTTAAGGCATTGTGCTTTGACATATTTAATCATAAATCATTTATTTTTAATTTTTAAACAAAATATCACTAATAATTTGTGACATTTGAATAATATTAAATGCAAAACTTGAAATTTAACTAAAACTAATTAATATGCATTAAATTCATTGGAATAATTAAAAGTTTGTTGTTGTTTTCTGCATTTTTTTGTTTTGAATGCGTTATTTGAGTATTTTTTGACAGAGGTAAAACCACACATCGCGGAGTTATCATGCGGCGATGTGGCGTACCTGTTCGAGCAGTGAAAAAGTGAAAAACGCGTGCATGCCGCTTTCTTGTTGGCGCGGACGTCAAGTCGGGTTGTTTTTTTTTTCTGCTTGGCGTCGGCGTAAATGCACAACGTGAAATAAATGACAGCTTGACATTTCGGTTTGTGGCGGGTGCGACGCTTGGGTCTTTTCTTTGCATGCCGAACGTCGTTCGAGTCGGAAAGTCTTGTTTGGATTCATAATTTTTGGATTTAAATTATTGTATTGTAGGTAAATAAATATACAATGTCATACAGAAACTAAAAATTTTATTCAAACACGCAGTATGATTCTCCACTTCGGGAATTTATTCAATGCTACGCCACTGACCAACAAACTATTACTATATGTATAAGGGGTTGCCTATAATAACATGTTTAATAATTATTTATGTTTTACTGTGTGGCGAAACAATTTAAAATTTTTAAACCGGTTTAATAAAATTTATATTAATTAATTAGGCTTAATTTAGATTTAAGATTTTAAAATTTCAATCAATAATTACGTTAATATAGTAAAATTACAAAAAAAAAACTATTATTAAGCGTGTTTCTAAGAATTTTCCATTTTTTGAATGACTTGTCGTAATTTTCTTGTTTAGCAGTTCGATAAATATCAAAATTTTCCGAAATCAAATTGCACCTTGGAAAAAAATAACAAATCGATGAATGGACTCAATGATGCTCGCATTATTTACTTTTCAATGCAAAGTTGAAGGTGACATATTTAGAGGGTGTGTTCAGGCGTTGATAGAAAGGTAGAAACGGTGGAGGAGGGCGCAGTGAATGCGAAAGGTGCCAAAGGTGCAATAATAGCGTATTATCGTCCGCGTGCAAATTTCACGTTCCCACGGTCCCACGCATCGAAAACACCCGCACAGCGCACGGTGTTCAAAACTTACACCGGCTCCTAACAAAAAAACACCCTTTTATACAAGATCAAGAAAGGATTAATTTAAACAGAAAATTATTTTTTTCGTATTTATTTGCTAAACTGACTGAAATATGCCAAAACTTAATTTTTGGTCGTGATCACGAGTCAAGCGATTCAGGACTAATAAAAATCATGGCTATTTATAGCTGATGAATGCATTTTTATAGTTTTTAAATTATCCGAAGCACAATTTATTTAATTCCGATAATATTGGCGCTAAAAGTTTAATGTATGCAACTCATAAAACAGCGTCATGGCTTTTAAATCGTTCACACTACTCGTTTGGATGCATTTTTATTTAATTTCGCTGATATTCGTCGTTACTTTTAGTAATTTTGGGTTAGTTTGTCGCCGTCTTGTGACTATACTCAAATTTCCAAGAATGTGCATTTTTATTAGCTCACTTCACATCTTTTGCGTCGCCGGTTTTAAAACAAGCGACGTGTTAATTCTTTTTTTTTACAACCAACTTATTTTTAACAATTTTTCATGCAAAAATATAAAATTAAACTTGTAAGTTTCATATACCGATGAAAACACTTGGAAAATATTTAAAAAAGCATTCAATATTTCATATTAACTGATTTACTGGTAATACAGGGTGAAAAATAAGTATTTTAATGGTTTAATGGTTTACAGGTTAAGGTTTTAATGGAAGGGCAACGTATTGAACTAGAAGACCGCCGAAATTGCACGTTTAATCGTTTTCTAAACGTAAAAAAATCAGAAAATGACGATAGCGATGAATCAAGCGATGGATATGTCAGCGAAGTCTTCCATAAGTATGCAACTAAATACTCATATTGAAAACTATAATTTTCACATTGAAAATATTGATTTGTAGTTATTCATTTCGCTTTGCACGTCCAAGATTAACAAACGACAAAGTCCAAAACAAAGTAAACATTAAACAACTTGAATTACCACTGATTCCTTCCATTATAAACAATTTAAATCTAAATAAAACTCAAAATCAAAGAAAACCACCTAAAAGACGTTATTATAATAAACTAGGATTAAAACCCTTAAAACTACTGAGTGTTAAACCAAATAATACTAATAATAATAATAATAATAATAATAAAATTAAAAAAGAATTTCATAAATCTAAAGATGATGACGATGATGATGACCAACAAGATGCTCTTGACTGCGCTGAAGATCATGATGTAAATAATTATGACATAAACAACATCGACTTTGATTTCGATGTGCTGCGATTGATCATGAACGAGGAATGCAATAATAATACACTCGATGATTATCAGAGTGAAAAAATAAGCAATCATATTGATCATATTGCTCATCGGGAGCATAAGCGCAGCGTCGGCAAGAACAAGAAGATTAGGTTCACGTTATCGAAGCCGCAGAGTCCGCGCACGGTGCAGGTAATTAGGGTGGACGTGACGGCGAGCGCGTGGAAGAACAAAAACCATCAAGATGGCCGCCGCCAGGACGACGACGATGACTCCGACCGCGACGACGATTATTGCGGGCGGTTTCGGCGTGATTACGGCCTCGCCAACGAGCACGATCATAAATGCGTCGGTAATCGCAAGTGCAATTACTGCGATACGTGCAATTACAACAACTGCAGGAACAACAGCACTCATACTTGCCGCGCACATCGGCGAGAGGAAGCGCAAGATGTGATTGATTCGGATTTTGCTCTAATGTGCAAGAAGTTAACTTTATCCCCAAAAGAATACTAAACATATATAAACATATCTTATTCTATATTGTATTGTAATGTTGGTTGCCTATATTAAACATATATCCACATAAAGAACTGCGTAAGACAACGTTTAATATTTCTGGTTTATTTTATGAATGAAACCGAAGCAAAAACATAATCGAGCTTCTGTCTATTGTAATCGCTGGCGTCTTGCCGCCCAGTCAGTAATAGCCCACGGCTACAGACTCTCGGTTTCGTTGTAATTTCCGTTCCGTGTGCGCTTGTTGCTCCTTGGCGGTTACGTCCATTTTGAGAGATCTCGGACGTGTTGTGTGTTGTGATGTTGTGCAGGATCGAATTCGGCGATTTCCGTTCGACGCATTCTTCAAATAACGCCGCCCGAGTGCGAAAAACGCGCGCGGTGCGCCCAACATCAAGGTTATTCCCATGTCTATGCGCGTGTAATTTAATGTTGATGATGCTTGATGAAAAAAACGCTCCAGGTTTTCGTTTTGCACGCCGTGATTTACACAGAATCGCACTTAAATAATAAAATAACCCTAAACGCACTGAAACTCAAACTTAACTTAATTTATGTTAGGCAACCTATGTAACAGTATTATAGTTGGTATAGTCTAGACGTAACTGTATATTTGGTTGCATAAAGTAAATAAATCAATGATAATTTTGGTATAAAATGTATCAATTTCTGTTGATTGCTTTCTTTGTTTCGTGAGACTTGCAAGTTTGGCATTTTGTGTTGTAGTGGGTTAGTGATGTTGTAATTTTGTTGGGTATACTGATGTCGAGGACCACCCGTCACGCTGCGATTGCGAATCGTGCCCGAACGAAATGCAACTCTTATCTCGCAGGCATTCGCATTCAATACTCGCGTGCGCGTATCTGTTGCGATCTGGCGGCGCGTCGCAATCATAAATCATATTTATCGGATTGCTAGCGGTGCAACAAGTGGAATTTTTCAACGTCATCATCAGGCGAATTACAAATGAAAGCGACACACAAAATAAACCACAAAATAATCAAAATTAATTTCTTTAAAAAAACTAAACATTTGTTATGCAGTGGAAAACAATTGCGGATAAAATAAAGTTTATCAAGGTATGAAACTGACGCGACACGGCGTCTGTGTAACTTTGACCCATAAATCAATCCACTAATTCGCTGCTCGGTTCAAAGTCGCGGCGCGCGGCCTGCAAGACGAAGTTTGAACTTGAACTTCTCGAAGCAGCGCGCCGCCATCTGAGTCACCGTCTGCAGGCGCGCGTTTTCGCTTTCGTCTGGAACTGGAACCGCAGGAACATTTTATGAATGAATCTAACCCGAGGAGCACAAGTAACGCCAAACCGAACACACAACACACAAACGCAGCGTCTCGCCTTAAGAATTCTTTGTGCGTGAATGTATGTATTCTCAGTGCGTTGAAAGCGACGGAAGAAGAAGAAGAAGGACGAAGATGGCGGCGCGCCGAGAGTCATTAATTTGTGAGAAGAACGCGAGGAGCGGCGCGGGCCTCATCGGAATACTCGGAATGCCGTCGTGAGCGAGCGTAACAGGTTGCCCTCAAGACACTTCCCATCACGAAACTCTTCCAAACGCGGCGCGCGCGCGACTCTGAATGGAAGCCGGCGTTAAGGGGGCGCCCGCGAGTTCAATGCCAAGGACTTCATCATATTCGTGCGCGCGATTTATTCTAGGTCGGGTTTTGTTCCTTCCTTCCGGCGTCGGGCGTCGTGCAATCGTAAGAAAATCCCCACAGTGAATCATGAACTTCATAATCGCATATAAACTATGTATTATCCTTCATCTTTGCATCGTTAGTAAAATTGGTTGCCTACATTACACTGCAACATAATGAGATTTTCTTTACCTTTTCCGTGATTTTTTGAGCAAATAAAAGCAAAAGATGTTCTCCCAACGCGACCCTTAACCTCTTCCACCCTTTCTCACCGATTTCCTGACCGCTGTTGCGTGTTTCTTGCGGTCCCGCGAGAGCTACCAAAATATGTTGTTTTTTTTTCCTCTCCTCTCGTCTTCTTTTGATTCTCGCCCGGCACGACCACGACCTTCCGCACTTACCCCAATACCGACCCGACAATCGGATGAACACGTCGGAGGCATTTCTCTAATTCACACCACCCTCGCAGCCATTCATAACGCGGACGCGCGCCCGCGTTTCCGGGTCACTCGCACGGAAAAAAAGCGAAACACGACTTGCGACTCACGAGGTGCGCACATAAATTCATAAGCGACGCACGAGTTCAACCACCGACGGCGACCACCCTCGAGCCAGAGTAACATCGCGTAGGGTGCCGGGCGCGTCACTCCGATGAGTGGTTCGTGTTGTTTGTGTTTTTTCTGCTTTGTTTCAGGGTGTTTATTTGAATTAATAGGCTGAAAAATACTCGGCTTGTTAGAGAAAAAAACGCACGAGCTAATTTTTGTGTTATTTATGTGCGCGTTTATGCATAATGGGTATCAAAACGTGCGCGAAAAGTATGTTCGTCGCTCCCCGATGAGGGCGCAAAAAACGAGGACAATACGCTGGAGGAATGTGTCAGGATTTGCGTTGAGACATGTCAAAACTTTCGCGTGTACGAATTTAACCAGCAAGAAAAAAAAAACACAGAAAAAACGCACAAATAGAAACAGCAAAAGTTATTAAAATGTTTTTGTTATTGTTATTTAAACATAATATATTCTTACAACATGTCAAACATATAATCAAAGTATTTTTTACATAAATGTGCAAAAATTACATTTAAAACAATAAAATTTGAGGTTTTAGGTTGTTTTTTAATGTTTAAATAAATAAATTGTTACAAAAAACAATAAAGAATATTATTATGCATGTTTTAGTTAAAATTTGGTTAAATTCCGACAAAAATTGATGATTTTAATGCAAAAAACAAATTTAATTGTACGATTGGTTGCCTATCTCAATGACAGATATGTATAATTAGACAGATGTGTATTGAAGTTATTTCCGGTCGCTTAAACAACATCCTCACCTTATACAATGCATGATCACAATTCCCCAGCCAACGTCTTCCGATAGAACGCGCTCATTTATAAGTCATCCTTGGCGATTCTATTCTTCGATGAGCAGCGATCGCACGATGCCCCGCGACTGAGAGTTTCGGGCCCGCTTTTTGGGGAGACGGCGTGATTGTTGCTTTTGCGTGCGGCGGCGCGCCGCTTCTTCTTCCTTCGCGTTGCCGCTTCGGTGCGTCGTTTGCTGCGGCGAGAACGACGCTCATAAAGTGCGCGTAATAGCGTGTTAAACGTTATTATGTGTTTGGGGAAATCGAAAGAATATGGGAACGGGCAGCTGTCTCGGCCACTTCACTCGAATTTCACGAGAAGAAAACATTTTCAAAATAAAATATATCTATCAATATGGAGCAGAGCGGTGAAAAATAATGTTGGAGTGTGGAAAAATTGAGTTTTAAACACGGTTGTTAATAAGAACTAACAAATAATTTATTTTTTTAGTTATAACTTTCATTGAATCTCAAATTCAAATTTCATCCCTTATTTCACACCCTTAAAGTAATAATTTTCGATATTTTAATAGTTATTCTGCTATTTGGGAAAGAGATGAATCCAAAAAATCATAGATAATCAAAATCTGTCCAGCCGTTCATAAGTTATAAGCGGTGTAACTAACAATAACTTTGTTTTATACAAATTTTAGTAATTTCCTGCTAAAATTACGCTCATTTCTTGAAATTTAGTAGAAATTTAAAGATATTTATATTAACGGACAATAAAATGCTCTGATATTTCAAATCGCCACGCGCATTTTCGGTTCATCACCCTCTCTGGTCAAATTTAGGGTCCAGAACCCCTGTACTAAAAAAAATTGCTCTATTTAGGGTGATTTGGAGAGAATTCAAAGCCGCATATTTAAAGGAAGTTAAAGTCATGTAAATCATCGACTTTTAGTCATTGTCCGCATCAGCAAAATTGCAACTGATACACATTTGCATGATATTGCACATATGACACAGCATTTAAGGGAGGATTGACGTCTGAATGTAATCCAATGCAACATTATAGAAAAGTCAATAGTCCAGGGAGTTTTTTGCACGTTTTGACCACTAAAATAACCGTAACCACTGGCAATAAAAGCAAATATCACCGAAAAAAGCAAATTGAATAGAAAAATGACACAATTACTCGATAGATAATAAAATATGAGCTGATATTTATAAAAGAAAAAAGTTGCGCACTTTTTTCGGTTTTTTCATTCCCTCCTCTTTCTTTTGTTTGTTTCAATAGAGATAGACGTAAAAAACGATGACTGTTCAAAGAGACATCGGAGGACTTTTTGGGGTATTCGAGATATTTAAACGGTGATATTAAGCGATATTGGGTTACAGCGTGAGAAATTGGAGCGCGTGCATTCCATTCACAAGTTGCGTAACGAATTTAACGCAATAAAACAAAACATTCATTCTAATTCATCCTAAAATTATGCAACTCAACACACACATGTCAAAATATGTAAAATTTCTTTAATTTCAGTTAAATATTTGATTGATGGATTGAATAAATGTCTAATTTAACACTTTAAATAAAATTAAACAAATTTCCGCCTAAAATTATGCAACCCAACATACACAAATCAACATACATAAAATCTCTTATGTTCGAAATTAATTTCGGTGTAATATTTGATTGATTGAATGATTGCAGGTGAAAATTCCGCCGCTGATTGTGTTATTGGTGCGTATGTATGCCTTTCAGGATTATAAACGATCGCACGGTCAACTCTAATGACAATTCGGATTGATCGACTGGCCGACTCGAAATACTGCTCTGTTACGTCCTGTCCCTTGTCCTATAAACGTTTCGATTGTCAAGCGTGTCAAGCGCGTCAAGCCCGATACATGTGTGTCGTGTAGGTGGAAAAATCAACGTGTACGAATTGTGGATGACAGACAGAATCATGTCCATGGATGTTTTTAGTGTAAATGTTATTTTTAAAGATTTCACACTTTCCAAGACCACCTACACAGATATTTTGCATCTATTCTAGAGCAAAATAAAAGTTAGGCAATCCAAATTACTCGCAACTTCAGTTTTTATTA